TGCTGTCCCTAATGCACACTTTCACCTGAGCGGACCACATTGGATTTGTTTTCACTGAGGGGCTTGCTGTATCAGCTCTGTGTGCATTAAAATCAGCCCTCCTCTATAAACCCCAGGCTTCCCTAGGTTGATTTCTCTTTATTTTTTAATTTCTTTACCTGCCAGCCACATGTTTCTTTCTCCATGGTCCCTGCTCTGCTATGATGGCAGCCAGAGCTAGTGTGTCTCTAAGGTACTTCTTATGCTCAAGTTACCCACTTTTCTGTAGCTCTATGAATTTTTTTTTTAAATTACAGTTTAATGTTGTGTTTCAGTGAGGTTCCTTTGCCACTTACCTCGTTGAGAAGAAGCCTTCCTGTTTTATAAGTGGGGTACTGCTGAGCCAAGCTTCCTTTCTCTGCTCCACTATCTTCCCTCCCTCCGGATCCCTCCCTCATCCTCAACCAGTCTTTTGATATTCACTCAGTTGGAATTTTCTTAGCTTCAAGTGATATAGTTCAGTTTTATGATTGTTGAAACATATTGGACTAAGCAATTACCTATTTTTTAAAAATAAGTTTATATTTCTCCATGGGGATTTGGATTTATTTCCACTTAACTAACACTCAAGAATGCTACCAGTTTAATTTCATTTTAAATAAGAAGTCTGAGTTTATATATTTTTTTGGATCATAAACTGTGAAATCAAAACCCAAACCCAGTGAAGCTAAGCCTGTGGGCATGAATTTGTTTGGAAGACTACTTCTTCCACCAGCAAGCAAGGTTGAGAGATAAGTTTCTGTGCTGTTTCTGCAGGACATTAGGTTCACCTTTTCCTTGTGAGTATAGCACTTCTTTATATGGGCATGAAGAGATCTCTGATCCTACTCCCCATCCTTTGCAGCTCCAAGGCTTTGTTCATCCTTCTTCAAAACCCAAGCCTTGGGCTATATAGGAAATTGTGGATTTCCTCAGAACAGGGCCTTCACTGTTGGTTTACATCTTTGAATTCATATTTTTCCTTTTTCTCTGCTCTCAGATGAATTCTTTAATTTCTTGAAAACAAAACCAAGGTTGGAAGACATTTTTAATATTTCATCTAGGTGTATTTTTGTGCTTTCTTTTAATAAGAGAATTGTAGGATCTTTCGTTTGTCACATTACTAACACTTGAATTCTTACCCCTTATTTAAGAAAGGCCACTTTAAGTGTTAGACTAATTTGTCAGGATTTAAGGCTAGCCTTGTGGGGCAGAGGGGAATATAGCAGGCAATATGAATTTACTGGCATTTGTAGATTTTGAGGTTGGAATATAGATTCTTAAATTAATTTTTTGATAGGACCAGAAGTAACTAAAGACAAATCAAGTTCCCCTTTGAACCTTGTATTAGGGTTTACTTTCTTTCCAGTATTCTGTGTGAAACAGTGTAAATATTTTGTTTACAAGTTTTATTCTTTCTCTCCCTTCTCTGTATGTAGCTTACCTGTCATGTTGACCAGTAATCATATAAAATATTCAACTTTGTCAATCTTTCCCTGAATTTTTTCAAATCAGTTACTTCATTTGCCTTTTGAGAATATTTTTACACATTGCTATTATGTCACTTACAATATTGAAATGAAATGTTTAAAATTGATTTTCCTCCTAAACTGGTTAACCTATTGCAATAATAGTAAGTAAAAGCTTTCATGGTACATGCGAAAAGGCACATATATATCGGTATCCATATATAATATAGTTAACCTGTGAGATAGATAGAATCATTCCCATATTATAAATGAGGAAATTGAGGATTATAAAAGCTAATTGGATTTGTCCAGATTTTATAATAAGGAGCAAGACCAGGATTTAAACCAGGTGTGATTACTCTAGGAATTGGCCTGTGCTTGGAAGAACGTTACCTTTCCTTTCTTTTGTTATTAATGTAGTGCCAAGAGTTGTTTCTTTTTTTTTTTAATTATTAAAGTGTTTGTTTATTGTTTTATAAATCACTTTGACTAAATTCTTTTTTTTCCAGTTGTATACAAAGTATATTCACACCAATTCGTGTCTTCATACATGTACTTTGGATAATAATGTCCACCCATTCCACCATCATTTATAACCCATGCCCCCTCCCTTCCCCTCCCACCCTTCTGCCCTATCTAGAGTTTGTCTATTCCTCCCATGCTCCCTCTCCCTATCCCACTATGAATCAGCCTCTTTATGTCAGAGAAAATATTCGGCCTTTGGTTATTTGGGATTGGCTAACTTCGCTTAGCATTATCTTCTCTAACTGCATCCATTTTCCTGCAAATGCCATGATTTTATTCTTTTATTGCTGAGTAATATTTCATTGTGTATATATGCCACGTTTTTTATCCATTTGTCTATTGAAGGGCATCTAGGTTGGTTCCTAGTACATGGCACACAGGAAATGCTTACTGAATGAAAGGCATGAAAATTCGAACATTTCTTTAGTAGAAACTTCATGAATTTAAAATGAGATTCAAATATTTACAAATATACATCAAAGTTTTACTTGGGATATCATTGTATCAAGGAACAGGAATGTGCCACCTATTAAGTTGTGTGTGTGAACATACACTCACTATGTAAAACATATAAGAACTTTAATGTCATCCGTTGCAAAATCAAAATGTTCTGGTATTAAATTCTAACCTATCAAAAAATTTCATCACTTAGATCAGGAGAGGCTAAATCTAACCTGCCAACTGTTTATTATAAATGGGTTTTATCATAGCATAATCATGACCATTTGTTTACGTATTGTCTAAGGCTGCTTTTGTGCTACAAAGGCAAAGTTAAGTAGTCACAGAGACTGTATATCTTGCAATGCATGAAGTATTTACTAGAAATAGTTTGGTGACCCCTGACATAGATGACTCGTCTTGTAGCATTTGTTTAACTGTTTTACTCTATTTCAAGGATCTCCAAGATAGATTTGAAATTCAGCCAGGTGATGCTCGTCTATTTATAAATGGCCTTCATGTTGATATGGATGTTTATGATCCTTTTAGGTAAGTATTAATATTATTAATACAAACTATGGTTTATGTAAAGGTAAAAATTGTCCTGAATTTAGTATGTCAAAATGCCAAGAATGGCTTTAAATATAAGTGCATTTTAAAAATTTTTGCTGGCATGGATGTGGGGAAAAGGGTACACTTGTACATTGCTGGTGGGACTGCAAATTGGTGCAGCCAATTTGGAAAGCAGTATGGAGATTTCTTGGAAAGCTGGGAATGGAGCCACCATTTGACCCAGCTATTCCCCTTCTTGGTCTATTCCCTAAAGACCTAAAAAGAGCATGCTACAGGGACACTGCTACATCGATGTTCATAGCAGCTCAATTCACAATAGCAAGACTGTGGAACCAACCCAGATGCCCTTCAATAGACAAATGGATTAAAAAAATGTGGCATTTATACACAATGGAGTATTACTCTGCATTAAAAAATGACAAAATCATAGAATTTGCAGGGAAATGGATGGCACTAGAGCAGATTATGCTAAGTGAAGCTAGCCAATCCCTAAAAAACAAATGCCAAATGTCTTCTTTGATATAAGGAGAGTAACTAAGAACAAAGTAGGGACGAAGAGCATGAGAAGAAGATTAACATTAAACAGAGATGAGAGGTGGGAGGGAAAGGGAGAGAAAAGGGAAATTGCATGGAAATGGAAGGAGACCCTCAGGGTTATACAGAAGAACATACAAGAGGAAATGAGGGGAAAGGGAAAAATAATACAAGGGGGAGAAATGAAGGTCAGTAGAGGGGGTAGAGAGAGAAGAGGGGAGGGGAGGGGAGGGGGGATAGTAGAGGATAGGAAAGGTAGCAGAACACGACAGTCACTAGTATGGCAATATGTAAATCAATGGATGTGTAATTGATGTGATTCTGCAATCTGTATATGGGGTACAAATGGGAGTTCATAACCCACTTGAAGCAAAGTGTGAAAGATGATATATCAAGAACTATGTAATGTTTTGAACAACCAACAATAAAAAAAAATTGTACATATTTATGGAATACAAAATACAGTATTTTGATATGTATGTACAATGTGTAATAATAAAATGAGGATAGTTATCATTTCCATGACATCATACATTTATCATTTCATTGTATTGGGAACATTCAAAATCATCTCTTCTAGCTATTTTGAAATACACAGCAAGTTATTCTCAGCTGTCATCATTCAACTGTACTATAGAACAGTAGCACTTATTTCTTCTATCTGCTTTACTCATATCCTTCCTTTTTTCTTCCTCTCCATCAAATGCGTGTTTTTGATTGTGTAACACAACTCTATTATTTTGGTAGAATATTTTACCAAAATATACAAGCCCAAAGCTGTGAATAGTTGTGAGAAACCTTGGAGATAATTGTTCCAGTGAATACTAGACCTGTACTCATCCCACTATTCTAAACTGTCTTTCAATGAAAAGTAGGTTGTTAACTTAGCAGTTCTTGGGGACTAGACTGAGCAGCCAGGGACATATACCCTCCAGAAAGAAACTGAAAGCAACACAAGGTGTTTTCCCAGAAGAGAGAAATTAACAAGGATAATTTAAAGTGCTATGTCTGTCAGGAAATTTGAAATTATGGAATTTTGAAATTTGAAATTATGAAATTACATGCCTAGTGCATGGCACACACTCAGGAAATGCTTACTGAATGAAAGGTATGAAAATTCGAACATTTCTTTAGTAGAAACTTCATGAATTTTAAAATGAGATTCAAATATTTACAAATATACATCAAAGTTTTACTTGGGATATCTTTGTATCAATGTGCTATCTTGTGCCTTAGGTCAAAAATTCTTCACAAGTGCTCTAAGGCAGAAAGAATTAGGAATTCTTTTGTTAATCAACGGCCCCTCACCCATAAATCTAAACTTACAAGTCAAAAAGAAGAGAAAAAATGGAATTTGGTTTACTCTTGTAGAGAAGTTTAAAACTGATTTAAAAGTTAATGTTTGCACCATAAAATAAGTTCAGTTAATTGTTTGTTTTGCTTCTCTATGGGATGATTGATCCTGAGCCCACCAGCAGCAAGCTGGCCCCGGATTTCTCCAAATCCACATTTCTTTTTCCTTTCATTCAAGGAAAGATCCATTTTCTTACCAGTTTGGATGTGTAGAAAAATGCAAGAGAGACATAGAAATAGGATAGTTCATTTGGAATTTTTGCCATTTTATAATTTTTATCTCAAGCTGGCTTTTCTCTATATTTAATTGAATCCTTGGACCTGACAACCCGAGATACATAGCATAAACATTATCGATAGAAAGAATAGCGGCATGTGTACTGTAGTTCTGTTCCCTAGTGATGTGATGGCTACCGTGATTCCCTTAAAAGAGAAATAGCAAATATATAAGGATAATTGTATTTTCTGATATTTTTCAGGTAACATAATCAAAGAGATTTTCTGAAAAAGATGACAGGATATAGAATAAAATCAATGAAAAACAGGTGAATGAAAGAAAATTATATGGAAAAATAGAGAAATGAAAATGTTCTATTACAGAGATATTGCATAGAGAGAGTTTGTTTTTGCTACTAGTACTCAGAATTGTCCATTTGAGGAAGAAAGGAAATGAATTATTTTTTTTTCCCATCCTCTGTCAATAATTGCATTTCTGGATTGTGGAGAATCAATATCATATCTCAGATATGGCCCCATCGTTCTTCCAAGTCATAGAAGGAGCTTAAAGTCTCGGGTTCAGGGTCAGGACAGTGTAGGTCTCATTCCCAGAGAGGCTGAGACAGTAAGAACCATGAGACTGTGGCTGGGGGAAAGGCATCCAAGACATAAATGAGGCTTTGTTTCTCTACCTTAGAATATACTATCCTAGTCCATCAGGGAGGCATTATTGCATGTCTGCCTCAGCCACAGACTTGCCCAGTGAGAAATTGACTCTAATACAAATTAGGTATCACGTTTTGATAGACAGTCTCTTCCTACTTGAGCAGTGTCGCTACCACCAGAAAGATGTGACAAAGTGGTCTTGATATCATCACTTCTATAGTTTTTCTGTATTTTCATAAAATTATCTGCTTAGAATTCTTTTGAGTTCTTGCAAAATAATTATTTTAATGCATGAAGTATTGAAATCCAATATTATAAAATCAATTTAATATTAAAATGCAATTCATGTATCTGAATCCTGCTATGTTGTTGGAACTGCTGCATGTTGGGGATATAGTGGTAAACAAGACAAAATAGGTCTTGCCTAAGTGATGTTTTCAGTCTAGATGGGAATACATTAAGTAAATAAGAACAGTGTGATAAGGCTTGTAAAAGGTTAGATACAGTGTGTGGGATTTGTAACCCCAGAAATTTGTATTTTTTGATGGAACTTTGGGACTTCAAAGAAGTGTTTTATTTAAGCTAGGCTTTAAAGGATGAATTGGACAAAGGGGAAATGGAGGTTGTGACAACATGAAGGCATGTTTTGAGAACTGTAGACAATGAGGAGGAGCTAGAATTAGTCAAGATCACACAGATAGGCAAAGATCAGATTGTAAAAGCAAGTTACAGATTTGGCCTTTTGTCTCTAAGGCAGGAGAAGCCATCAAACAAGTCCAAAGATAGTTTCTGATGCTTCCCTTTTAAATACTATTTGTAAACCCCAAGATACAGGAAGTTTCCTGATAGATAAATCAAGTGTACTTAGTTTTTATTTATCATCCAAAATTCAAGATTTAGGAAGATCAAGGAACAAACTAGTGCTTATTGAAGATAACTGTGTGCCTGATCATCAGTTCATTCAGCCTTAATTCTCTGGAAAGGGATTATTGGTTTTTCTTTTTTAAGTAGATGTGGAAACTGAGACTTAGATTTTATACAAAACTAAAGACATAAATAGTAAATAATGGTAGTTTCAAAATCCCACACCCTTTCCAATGTACTGTGCTGTGGGTCTGATTTTCCTTGAAAACAAGTTTGAGAAAAAATAGCTATGAGAAATATTGAAATTCTACCATACCAAAAAAATGGGTCTGATCAGTGAGCATCACCAAATTTTTGGAATGGAAAATATATTTACAGGGTACTCTGAAATTCTTATTTTACAAATTAGGGAACTTAGACTAAAAAGTTGAAATACTTTAGGAAGCCACACATGTATTTTTTGCATGTCTGAGTATATTTTTATTACATATATTAATAGAATTATAAATAAGCACATTTTTTGATTCTCAGGAGCGGAACCCGATCTAAACATGAAAGTCATTTATGTTCATGTATACTTTATATATTTATATATACTATACATGAATTATATTTTAAAATTTATTTTACATTTTAACATGCCTGCCCTATTTTGAGCATAATCTGAGCTTCTGTATTTTTAACATGCCTGAGTTTTTACTACAACCCATCCCATAATGTCAGGTGTGAAATTTTCCATTTGTCCTATCATGTCAAACTACATCTTATTTTTAAATTGGTGATTTGGGATATTCAAGCTAGTATTATTTATAGTGCCTATCTTCTCGTAGATTTTTGTTTTCCTGGTAATAAAGCTTTCTTTTTGTGTTTAAATCTGTCTAGGATATAGACATGAAAAGCCAAAGTCATACATACAGATCAGCTTGAAATTATGTAACAGCTTTACTAAGAGTTTTGGTATTAGATCTCCCCGCTGTGGATCTCAGTAGTTTCCCTGAGAACTGTATACTAAAATCCATACTTTGCTTTTCTCTTACTCGGTTTACTTGTTGAAAGAGAAAATGATTTCTGTGACTGAATTTTTTGAATGAAGCCCTTAGGTTAAATATAATAAATATCAATTTTAGCAGTTCCTTTAAACAGTAAAAGTTCCTTCTTGCCTAGTAAACTTATCGTTTTTAAAAAACAAGTACTCTAAAGTCTTGACATTACAGACAAGGCGAGACAAGCAGAAACAGGGAAGCACTGCCTTCCTCTAGCATTTCTGGGTCAGCTCTGAGCTCCACTAGCTGAGCAGCCATGGGCAGGACACATTGCCTGTGAGCCTCAGTTGTAGCATCTGAAACTTCCTATGGTGGTGGTTTTGAGGCTCTGAGGAGCTCTTTTCAGAAAGTACTTGGCACTTTTCTGGCATACACAGCTTGACAAAGAGTAGTTTAAAGATTCAGGTTACCCAAACTTTTTGTGAATAGGGTTACTTACTATTAATATTGTATGAATAGTAATACTCTCATATTTTGAGAATTTTTGAATTTATTTATATTGATTTCCTCTTCTCCAGAATGCTTGGGACTAAAAGTGTGTCAGATTTCAGATTTTTTTTTAATGCTTACATGCACAAAATGAAATCTCAGGAACGGAACCCAGTGTAAACATGAAAGTCATTTATGTTCATGTATACCTTTCACATATAGCCTATAGAGTTGTGAATTTGGAGCATTTTGGATTTTCGTATTAGAACTGTTCAACCTACATATACAATAAGACATTTTAATTTGTATTCTAAACAGATATGAACTTTCACACACTTTAATGGGGTTTTCTATATACTAAAATTTTATTTTTATGTCTGTCTGATCTTTTATAGTATGTTTTTCAAGAGTAACCTAATGATTTATTTTCCTTATTTGTTTTATATGGCTAATCTGATCTGCACTACTTTGGTAAAGAGTACAATATTGTTGCTATCTTTTAAATGATAGGATTGTTATCACCCCACCCCACCCCCGACAAAAGTATGTATCCTGGATAACTAATTAGAACTGTTTGTTTATGAATAATATATTTTTCCACTATAAATAAAAGTATGAATGGAACTTATATTTTTAATATTTTGAGAAATCTATAACACTTTAAAAGATTCTTAAAATTTTTGGCAAAACAAAATAAAACATTTTTTTTTTTTTAAATATCAAGTATTTTGGATATGCTGAAATTAGAAGGAAAAGTGATGAATGGCCTTCAAAATCTTGGGATCAATGGGGAAAATTTGAGCAAATTTTTAAAACTAAATTCACATGTCTGGGAATCTGCCTACATACTAGATATTCGGCATTCTTCTATAGTGGTAAGTGCATATTATTTATTGTTGTAAAACTTTAATATATTTAAGGCTTAACATAAAACCAAATACTGGCAGACTTTAGAAAAAATTTAAGCATTTTGGAAGAGGATTCAGTGGAAAAAAAAGACATTAGACTTACCTTCTCCCATCTGATAGCTTCTTATAATACCCACTTATCCAGTATCCTTTTAGCTTCAAAGATAAAATAGTAAAAACAGAATAATCACATGACAAATAGCAGAAATAAAACACTAAACAGTTGAGAGCTGAGGAATTAAGAATACTGTCTTAACATAATGAAAATCTTGCCTAGACAACTTACGATGAACTCCTAACATTCTGGTGTGTGTGGGGGAGGGGCGGGGAGCAGCCTAGGTGAGTTTTTTCAGAAATCTGATCACATCTCCCTCCTTTGCTTAAGCACAAAAGTGATTGTTAGTATGATTTGTAGGCTGCAAACAGCCTGTTCTCTTCCCACCTCCTTTCTCCCCTTTCTGTTCTTTAACTGAGGTATTCTTCTTATCACACTACTTGTCTCATCTTGGAAATTTCTTTTCTCTGTCCACTTACCTCCTATTTTTGCTTTCAGAGTTCAGTTCAAACAGTCCTTACTGAGAGAAACTTTCCTTAATAATCCATATTATCATATTTTTGTAAACCATGCTCATGTTCAGTGATTTTTCCAGCAGGACTCAGGAGGCCCAGAAGTTGTTACAGTCATGGTTATGGATTTTTAGAACAAAAGAATACAAAACAGAATCATCAGGGATGAAATTCAGGTGAAACCAGCTGCAGGTTTTCAAGAGTTCTCTTCTGGTATATTCTGCAGAATGTGGTTAATTTGGTATATGGCAATATGTGCAAGGTGCTTCCAACTAAGGAAGCTCAAGTGCACCTAGGAGTTCAGGGTTGTGAAGGGGGATCCATCACATGGGCATACAACATTCTGTACCTGCCCTCAGTTTCTGAAGTCCCAGACTCTCAGAGGAAAAGCAGAAGTTCGTTATAAATATAAATTCCATTGTTTGTATAAATTCTCTAGACAAAACTGTTGGAACTGCATAGCTCAAGGCCCTAAGCATGTGAAACAG